CTGTTAAGAGGCACCTTTCTGGGCGCTGCTGCTTCTCCCCCCCCAAAGTGGGCTTGAGGCGGGGGAGGCGGCGGGGGGGAGGGAGAAGTCATTCTTGTCTTCTCTGAACGGTCTCAGAAGGCTCAGAAGAGGATGCGCGAGGAAGGCGAGTTCTGCAGAAAAAGTTTGCTGGTGGCAGAAGGTAGGCGTGTGTGTGTGTGTGTGTGTGTGTGTGTGTGTGGTATTTGTGTTTGTGTGAGCGTGTGCACGCACGTGTGATTGCCAAAGGAGGATACGAAGGCATCCCTTTGCGGAGAGTGTGTGTTTATCATCTATCTGCCTACCTCAAAAGGACTACAAAGTCCGCGATCCGCTTTTCTCAAGACCCAGCAGCAGACTCCTGAGTCGGATCAGGGTCCAAAAAAAAAGAGGGGGGGGATCCGTGGTCCTTCTTGAGGAGGGGGAGGCAAAGAGATTTCAGGGGATCTACCAGATCCCAAAGCAGGGCATTCAACCAAGCCATCTCTACTGGGGGAAAGTGGTGAGCCTTGGCTGCTTGGAACCCTCCTGGGGGGGTCTTTTTCTAAGGCTGCTGGCTGAATAAAGTTCTACTTTAAAAAAAGAAAAGAAAATTCAACCTAGCCCAGCCATTTTTCGGTCCCCTCTTCCTTAACGCTACTTTCTCCACCAGTTGCCCACCGAACATGGAAGAGCACCGCGGGGGTGGGGGTGTCATCCTCAACTGGGAGAAACCTCCGTTGTTCAGGAGGGGAAGGGGTGGGACGTGCAGTCACGGCTTAAAGGCTCCGGAAAGCTGGGTTGTTCTGCTCTCCCCATCCCTTCAGGAAGAAAAAAAAAGGGGGGGATGAGCTTTAGGGGAGGCAAAGCTTTGGGGCAGGTTTGCCAAATAGGCTTCATGGGGCTAAAAACCTTTGGCAGTGGCTGTATATGCTTCCATCGGCTTCTGCTAACAGCAGCTGGAATTATGACTTCAAAGCCATCAAACGTGAAATGAGGGACATGTTTGCTCTTCCTTGATTCTGGCATTGGTGATGACTTCCAAAACCTCTCCCGACTAGACACAGAGACAGCCCCTCCCCCTCCGGTGCCATCCTTCGGCTGAACCCCTAATTCTCACGGTCCAATCTAATAAGGCCTCTGCTTATTAACCCATACAAGGTGGCTGTAGCATTATTATTTCTCCTTCTCATCTTCCTCACCTCCCTCCTTTTATTGGGACAATGGCGATGATGGTTCGTCACACAGTCAGCCAGATGTTCAGTCTGGCTTTGGCATTTCTGTCCACCTGTCGAGTCATTCCCGTAGGCCTGGGATAGGCAGATGTGGATGCTGATGGGAGTTACAGATCTCGTCGGTCGCGAGGATGGAAGCTGTTCTAGATAAATCTGCCTTTTGCAATTGACGGATGGGGAATTTGTCAATGCCGATGGTGATTCGGTGGCGCTCCAGTTATTTTTATAGCTGCCTCTGTTGCTTTGCATGGATATTGAGCACTTCTGTACCGGAGACAAATTCCTTACGTTATCTAATCACACTTGGCCAAATAAAGTATAAATTTTATAATAAAATAAATAAATAAATAAATAAGTATTCAGTTCAATTACATTCAGTTCGGTTCAATTCAGTTTGGTTCGGTTCAAAGCATCCCTGGAAGGTACAGTAGGGTAAAATCTAAAGCAAATAAAACTAATTCCAGGGTAGAATAAAATATTCGAATAGGAACCTCAAAGATACAGCTACTACTGTTTGGGGGGGACGGGACAGGGGGAGGGAAGTTTGCTTTTCTTTAAATGACCAGTCAGTCAGTAGAAGGCCACCCTTGGTTTTCCAGCTGCCTGAAAACTTTCGCACATTGATTTGGGGGGGGGGGGCTGGAAGGTAGCAATGAGGTTTAAGATCAAAAGACAGGAGCCCTCCCCTCGTCACATTTCTCTTACACGCCAACTCTTTGACACACGCAGAGCAAGGGAGGAGGGTGTTTAATAAGAGCTGTCGATGATTGAATGCTTCCAAATTGGTCAATTATCCCACTTTAAATGGATTAATCCAATCATTAGCCAATTACTTTAAGTGCTTGAATGCACTGCAGAAAAAGAAAAAAGGACGAAAGAAAAGACTAAGGAATGTGGATGTGGGCATCTCAGTGGAAAGCTTTCCTTCCCAATAAGTACAGGGGGACCTGGAGGAAGATCTGGGAGGCCAAAGGGGCAGGGAGGGAGTGGGGCTCGTGGCCCCCAGATGTTCCCAGAGCCAGAAGGGAAGAATGTTGGGAATGAACGACTAGCACCATTGGGAGAACTACATCTTTCTCACCTCTTTTTTTAGGTGATTTTTGTTTTCATTTGTGGCTAACATTTGAGAGCATTCTGAAACCAGTTGTGACCGAGGCTAGGCAGATGAGCACATGCAAAGGGACATTGTGGAGCTTCATAGCATCTTTACCTAACATTACATTTCATTTCATTTCATTTATTGAATTTCTATGCTGCCCAATCCCGGAGGACTCCGGGCAGCTTACAGAAATGAAAAAAAGAATTATTAAAAACAATGGGACACAACAAAGTTAAAAAGGAACACAACAGACACCCAATCAGACAGGGCTGGACCTCCATCAATGTCAGCACCTCTTCATTGAGTAATTAGGAAAGAAGACCACGAGACTCCATAGGTAGAAATCAAGCGTACATTTACTAATTATAAATGATCAGAAGTGTAGCAAAGCGAAGACTGATTATTTAGGCGCGAAAGCAAGTGATATATAAAATAACCCATTCCCCACCCCTTGGCATCCCAGTTACAGTCCAATCATAATTCTCTTAAGTGTCGGGTGTGAGATACCTTCGAAAGGCATCAATAAGATGGAATGTCGGTGCCGTTGGCCTTGGCGGGATCCTCCTCCGCTTGCGCA